TTCAAAGTCAATGAATAATCGCATTTAATAATCGCAATTACAATTATTGACCCAAATAATCGAGATTATGATTTTTGCCATAATCGAGCAGCCCTACAATCACGTACAATGTGTTGGAGAGCTAGCCAATAGAAGTGGAAGTGTAACATAGTGATGTCACTATTTTAGGGATTTTAGCCTTTGTAGACCATTTACATGCACAAAATCATATGTAACACACTACAGGAAAGGGAGTATTTCAAAAATCATAATAAGGACTCTTTAAGTAAGATATCTGAGCACTTCTCTCACGGCGTGTCATGATGGAGATGCTGTCAGAGACTCAGATATGAGGTTGGCCACTAGATGGAGCTGAAGAATCAAAGTGAAAGTGCAGAAGAAGACACTGGTGTCTCTGTTTCTTTCTGTTTTCTCATCTTTTCTCCTCCTCTCTTCAGATGGATCAGCTGTCAGACGAGGAGGTGGAGGTCAGGGAGGATGATGAAGAGGAGGACAGCGATAAGGAGGACCAGGACCTGGACAAGATGTTTGGAGCCTGGCTCGGGGAGCTGGACAAACTCACCCAGGTACACAAAGTAAGAGAGGTCCAGAGGTTAATCTGCATGGAACACATGAGATGCTGTACGGTTCGTTTATTGGGATACGAAATGTGTAATATTGTGTGTATTCAGAGTCTGGATGACGGCCGCCCGGAGGAGCCCCCCCAACAGAAAGCCCCCCTCAGACAGGAGACCAACATGGCCAACTTCTCCTACAGATTCTCCATCTACAACATCAACGGTACGACTCTTTGACCCCTTGACCCCCTGCTGTTAAACCTACAGTCTCAAGTGCAATATGCAGTTTATTTGCACTTTGTAGCTTTTTACGCCATTGTTCTTAACTATTTATTTCCCCTTCTGTGATTTATTACGTTTGTCTTTCCTACTGGCGTGTTTTTTTTCTATTCCGTCCTCTCCCGCTCAGTTTTGAATCAGAATCAGAAAGAGGTTTATTTCCAGGTAGGTTGACACGTACGAGGAATTTGACTTTTATTTTTTTTAATATATGTTTCTAGTTATTGTGCTTTTCATCATGTTTTTAATGATTGTTTTATTATTGTATTCCCATTGTGTCATTTAATATTGTAGTTATTGCCTGTACAGCACTTTGGTCAACTGAAGGTTGTTTTAAATGTGCTATATAAATAAATTGAGATTGAGATTGAGACGGTGCATACATAAAAGAAAAATGGAAATAAAAAAAACACAGATAGAGAACTATTTTAGGAAAACTACAATAACATTAAAAAACATTAAAAAAAATATATAGTAAAATATAGCAGTATTTACATAGAAATAGAATGGAATCAAATATGGAATCACATTTGGCATTAATAAAAAAACAAAGAAAACAGATTTGGAGTCCCTGTGTCTCACATGCTGCTGATGTGTGTGTGTCTGCAGAGGCGTTGAATCAGGGCGAGAACGTGGACCTGGACGCTCTCATGGCCGACCTGTGCTCCATCGAACAGGAACTCAGCACCATCAACACCAAACCCAACAGCAGCGGAGGCATGGCTCGCCTCGGGCTGACCGACGCTAAGGTACACACCTTCACATATCCATAGAGAATCATCACAACATGTCTTTATCTGGTTTATTGCACAAGATGGCACAGTCTGTATTGTGCGGTGGTCTTCCAGGGGCCAGTAGTGGTTATATCATACGTTTTGAGTGACTACGAGCTGTTGTAGTCGAATGAGTTTTGATTATTTGCAACTGTGTGATCTGCTGATTCTCTCTGACTCAATACAATACACACTGACCGACACCAAGGTACACACCTTCACACATCTCTGCAGAATCATCACAACATTTTTTTATCTGGTTTATTGCACAAGATGGGACAGTCTGTGTTGTATGGCCGTCTACCAGGGGCCATAGTGGTTATATCATATGTTTTGAGTGAGTACGAGCTGTTGTGTGAGTTTTGATTACCTGCTGATTCTCTCTGAGTCAATACAACACATCCTCGTTCCTCCCCAGGTCCGTCAGAAGCCTCCAGCAGGGCGCAGCAGGGGTCAGCAGCCAGCAGGGGGCAGTAACAGTGTTAGTGGTGGGGGGGGCAGCAGCAGTAACAGTGTGAGTGGTGGGGGGGGCAGCAGCGGGGCGAGCAGCAACAGCAGCAGCACCAGAGCGTCGCCTGCAGGCACCATCAGAGCCGCCGCCGGGCATCATGGGAGACCAGCGCTCGCCTCCAACTTCAGCCTGGACGACATCACCGCCCAGCTGGAGAAGGTGTGTGTGAGAGTTTCACTCTGATGCCCCTAATTGTCTGTCATTTGATTTAAAATGTTTGGTTTGAATATGTTTAACCGTGCAGATGTTGCTCCCTGTTGTTGGGGACATATTTTCCAAGGTCCATAACTGTGACCCAGTTTATCAGTTTGTAATGACCTCACTGAGCTCAGGCATCTGTAGCCTTGGCTGCTGTGCTCTCATTGTTTTTTCTCCCTGCTCCTGCCTGTTGGCGTCAGCTGATAGAGGTGTTGTGGTTTTATCTTGTTATGCAGCATGTTGATTATTCTCTCAGAACCAGCTAAATACCTGGGTCTGGGGTAGTGCATAACAAGATAAAACCACAACACCTCTATCAGCTGACGCCAACAGGCNGAAAAAAGAGAATAATCAAATCCTTAAGAGGTAATTTACTTGGGTAATGACCTTTCTCGGCTGCTGATGATTAAGAATGAGGCATGGTGATGAACCCTGATGAGGGAAATGTGAGTCTGATTCTATGACTATGCATAGAAGTAGAAGAGAGCAGCCTCAACCTCATCACCAGGGTTTGAGAACTCTTGCCAGATATCTCTTTCACATTCCCTGCAGCACTAATTGATGGTCCTTTCTCGAGCCTGGCATAGCATTCAGATGCAAAGCTCACTCCCTCTGTTCTTTTCCTGAGACCCTCTGTAACACGGTGGCTTCGGCCCTCTAATTATTTTTTATTTTGTATTTAATTATAGAAGGACCATGCATACAAAAACATTAATCTCAGCAAAGAGAAGAGATGCAATATGCCAGATTATAGCTAATAGCTAATTTCCATCTGTGGTCCTCAAATTATCACTCTAAGAGCTCTGTTAAGTGCCCCGAAAAACATTCCTGTTGTCATCTTACAATCTACTTATTTATATGAATAGTTATCACCGCAATATACCGTATTTAATTTTGTCTTAATGTACATTATTTGATTTCATATTCTGTTATTGTACATATCCCATATTCTATTGACATTTTGCACTTCTTTTTATTTTGTATTTTATTATATATGCATTGTTGGAGGAGCTCAGGTCAGAAGAATTTCATTGCCACCTTTGAATTGAAAATTGAATTGAAGAATCTGTTGTTTATTTTCTTATTACAACAATTTCACTTGTTTAATCTTTACTTTAACCACCTCTCATATTATATCTAAAACATTAGAAATTATTGTATCTTCTTTTGACTGTTGAAAAAAACATATCCAAAATACATTTTTGGGGAATTTGAGTTGTATTTTATTCCTAACTTGTAACAGAGCGTAGGTTACCTCGTGTTCGCTGACGGTGCCGACGGATCCGGTGCGGCGGTGTTGGCGCTGAGAGGATCCGGGTCGCCGCATGGTGGCGGAGGACGTGTAGGAGGAGGCGGAGCTTAGAGAGTGAGAGGAGAGAGCAGCTTCATCCATACTGAGAGACGCCTGAGGAAGAGGAGAGGAGATGAAGGTCGGGTCAGGTCTAAAATTCAAGTCTTCTTTTATCCAGTCAAAGGCCCTCTACCTAAACATCTAAATATGTAAGAGGGACATTTTCTGACAAACCTTTACCGCACCATGACATGTCTTTTGTGCATCATGTCGTCAATCATTTCAACACACTTTAAAAAAAATGTATCATGAAAACCTGAAATACTTATATACTAATATATGTTGTTGATTATTATTGAGTGTTGTTGATGATTATTGAGTGTTCTTGTATTTTAATATTTTATTTTATACCTCGGGACTGTGGGAAACAGTATTTCGATCTTACAAGGATATTTTGAGATTGACAATAAAATTGACTTTGACTGACTTTGATGTCTGTTTTGAATGCTTTGGATATAAAATAAGAGGGGGGCAAAGTAAAAATGAAAAACAGGACTAATTGTTGTTATTACAAAATAAGCAACAGTGACATTTTTTCTCTCCAAATCAGATGTTTTTGATAGCATGCAGCTTTTAATTCTCTTTTTGCATTATCTATGCTGAAAGTCAGGAATGTTATTGAGTAAACAGCGGTGTTTTGAAACCTAACATTGATCGAAACAGCTATACACGCAATAGGTGTGATGGAAACTTCTGAAGCAATGGAGACGAAGCTCAGAGAGCCACGGAGAGAGCAGGAACTTTGATGGCAAACACTGACGGTTTATTTGGAGCTTCGGTCGGAGAATTCACAAGACAAGTTTCTATTTGAATTATTTAACCTTTATTGTTCACAGAAATGGGGCTC